AAAGTGCTGGGATTACAGGCTTGAGCCACCGCGCCCAGCCTTGAGTGAGTTTCTTAATCTTGAGTTCGAATTTGATTGCACTGTGATCTAAGAAACTGTTATGATTTCCATTCTTTTGCATTTGCTGAGGAGTGATTTACTTCCAATTATGTGGTGAATTTTAGAATAAGTGCGATGTGGTGCTGAGAAGAATGTATATTCTGTGGATTTGGGGTGGAGAGTTCTGTAGATGTCTATTAGGTCTGCTTGGTCCAGATCTGAGTTCAAGTCCTGGATATCCTTGTTAATTTTCTGTCTTGTTGATTCATCTAATATTGACAGTGGACTGTTTAAGTCTCCCACTATTATTGCATGGGAGTCTAAGTCTTTTTGTAGGTCATTAAAAACTTGCTTTATGTATCTGGGTCTTCCTGTATTGGGTGCATTTATATTCAGGATAATTAGCCCTTCTTTTTGCATTGACCCTTTTAGTATTATGTAATGCCCTTCTTTGTTTCTTTTGATCTTTGTTGTTTTAAAGTCTGTTTTATCAGAGACTAGGATTGCAACTCCTGCTTTTTTTTTTTTTTTTTCCCTCTCTCCATTTGCTTAGTAAATCTTCCTCTATCCCTTTATTTTGAGCCTACTTTTGTCTTTGCATGTGAGATGGGTCTCCTGAATACAGCACACCAATGGGTCTTGACTCTTTATCCAATTTGCCAGTCTATATCTTTTGATTGGGGCATTTAGCCCATTTACATTTAAGGTTAATATTGTTATGTGTGAATTTGATCCTGCCATTTTGATGCTAGCTGGTTGTTTTGCTCATTAGTTGATGCAGTTTCTTTATAGTGTCAATGGTCTTTACAATTTGGTATGTTTTTGCAGTGACTGGTACTGGTTGTTCCTTTCCATGTTTAGTGCTTCCTTCAGGAGCTCTTGTAAGGCAGGCCTGGTGGTGATGAAATCTCTCAGCAGTTGCTTTTCCATAAAGGCTTTTATTTCTTCTTTGCTTATGAAGCTTAGTTTGGCTGGATATGAAATTCTGGGTTGAAAATTCTTTTCCTTAAGGATGTTGAATATTGGCCCCCACTCTCTTCTGGCTTGTAGGGTTTCTGCTGAGAGATCCCCTGTGAGTCTGATGGGCTACCCTTTGTGGGTAACCTGACCTTTCTCTCTGGCTGCCCTTAGCATTTTTTCCTTCATTTTAACCCTGGTCAATCTGACAGTTATGCACCTTAGAGTTGCTCTTCTTGAGGAATATCTTGTGGTATTCTCTATATTTCCTGAATTTGAATGTTGGTTTGCTTTGCTAGGTTGGGGAAATTGTACTGGATAATATCCTGAAGAGTGTTTTCCAACTTGATTTCATTCTCCCTGTCACTTTCAAGTACACCAATCAAACATAAATTTGGTCTTTTCACATAATCCCATATTTCTTGGAGGCTTTGTTCATTTCTTTTCACTCTATTTTCTCTAATCTTGCCTTCTTACTTTATTTCATTGAGCTGATCTTCAATCTCTGATATCCTTTCTTTTTTTTTTTTTTTTTTTTTGAGACGGAGTTTCGTTCTTGTTACCCAGGCTGGAGTGCAATGGTGCGATCTCGGCTCACCGCAACCTCCGCCTCCTGGGTTCAGTTCAGGCAATTCTCCTGCCTCAGCCTCCTGAGTAGCTGGGATTACAGGCACTCACCACCATGCGCAGCTAATTTTTTTTGTATTTTTAGTAGAGATGGGGTTTCACCATGTTGACCAGGATGGTCTCGATCTCTTGACCTCGTGATCTACCTATGATGGATAAGCCTTTTGATGTGCTGTTGCAATCTGTTAGTCAGTATTTTATTGAAAATTTTTACATCTATGTTCGTCATGGATATTGGCCTGAAGTTTTCTTTTTTTGTGAGTCTCTGCCAGGTTTTGGTATCAGGATGATGTTGGTTTCATAAAATGAATTGGGAAAGATTCCCTCTTTTTGTATTTTTGGAATAGTTTCAGAAGGATGGATACCAGCTCCTCTCTGTATGTCTGGTAGAATTTGACTGTGAACCCATCTGGACCTGGGCTTTTTTTGGTTGATAGGCTATTAATTGCTTCCTCAACTTCAGTCCTTGTTATTGGTCTCTTCAGGGTTTCAACTTCTTCCTGGTTTAGTCTTGGGAGGAGGCAAGTGTCCAGGAATTTATCCATTTCTTCCAGGTTTACTGGTTTATGTGCATAGAGTTGTTTGTAGTAATTTCTGATGGTAGTTTGTATTTCTGTGGAATTGGTGGTGATATCCCCTTTATCATTTTTTTATTGCATCTATTTGATTCTTCTCCCTTTTCTTTTTCTATTTGTTTATTTACTCTCTTTTTCATTTTGTATTGCATCTATTTGATTCTTCTCTCTTTTCTTTTTTTGTTAATCTGGCTATTTTGTTGATCTGTTCAAAAAATCAGCTCCTGGATTTATTGATTGATTTTTTTTTTTTTTTTTTTTTTTTTTTTTGAGACAGAGTTTCGCTCTTGTTACCCAGGCTGGAGTGCAATGGGGCGATCTCGGCTCACCGCAACCTCCGCCTCCTGGGTTCAAGCAATTCTCCTGCCTCAGCCTCCTGAGTAGCTGGGATTACAGGCACGTGCTACCATGCCCAGCTAAGTTTTTGTATTTTTAGTAGAGACAGGGTTTCACCATGTTGACCAGGATGGTCTCGATCTCTTGACCTCGTGATCTGCCCGCCTCAGCCTCCCAAAGTGCTGGGATTACAGGCTTGAGCCACCGTGCCTGGCCTATTGATTTTTTTAAAGGGTTTTTGTGTGTGTCTATCTCCTTCAGTTGTGCTCTGATCTTAGTTATGTTTTGTCTTCTGCTAACTTTTGAGTTTTTTTTTATCTTGCTCCTCTAGCTCTTTCAATTTTGATGATAGGGTGTCAGTTTTAGATCTTTCCTTGCTTCTCATCTGGTCATTTATTGCTATAAATTTTCCTCTAGACACAGCTTTAAATGTGTCCCAGAGATTCTGGTATGTTGTGTCTTTATTCTCGTTGGTTTTTAAGAACATCTTTATTTGTGACTTCATTCATTGTTTATCCAGTCAACATTCAAGAGCCAGTTGCTCAGTTTCCATGAGGTTGTGCGGTTCTGAGTTAGTTTTAATCCTGAGTTGTAATTTGACTGCATTGTGGTGTGAGAGACTGTTATGATTTCAGTTCTTTTGCATTTGCTGAGAAGTGTTTTACTTCCAATTATGTGGTGAATTTTAGAGTAGGTGCAATGCAGTGCTGAGAAAAATGTATATTCTGTGGATTTGGGGTGGAGAGTTCTGTAGATGTCTATTAGGTTTGCTCGATCCAGATCTGAGTTCAAGTCCTGGATATACTTGCTAATTTTCTGTCTCATTGATCTGTCTAATACTGACAGTGGAGTGTTAAAGTCTCCCACTACTATTGTGTGGGAGTCTAAGTCTCTTTGTAGGTCATTGAGAACTTGCTTTATGTAACTGGGTGCTCCTGTATTAGGTGCATGTATATTTAAGATAGTTAGCTCTTCTTGTTTCATTGATCCTTTTACCATTACGTAATGCCCTTCTTTGTCTCTTTTGATCTTTGTTGGTTTAAAGTCTATTTTATCAGAGACTAGGATTGCAACTCCTGCTTTTTTTTTTTTTTTTTTTTTTCTCTCCATTTGCTTGGTAAATCTTCCTCCATCCCTTTATTTTGAGTCTATGTGTGTCCTTGCATGTGAGGTGGGTGTCCTGGATACCGCAAACCAATGGGTCTTGACTCTAAGCAATTTACCAGTCTGTGTCTTTTGATTGGGGCATTTAACCCATTTACATTTAAGGTTAATATTGTTATGTGTGAATTTGATCCTGCCATTTTGATGCTAGCTGGTTGTTTTCCCCATTAGTTGACGCAGTTTCTTCATTGTGTCGATATTCTTTACCATTTGGTACATTTTTGGAGTGGCTGGTACTGGTTGTTGCTTTCTATGTTTAGTGCTGCTTTCAGGAGCTCTTGTAAGGCAAACCTGGTAGTGATGAAATCTCTCAGCAATTGCTTATTCATAACAGATTTTATTTCTTCTTCGCTTATGAAGCTTGGTTTGGCTGGATATGAAATTCTAGGTTGAAAATTGTTTTCATATATACATATTATTGCACCTTAGGTTCTGGGGTACATGTGCAGATCATGCAGGACAGTTGCATAGGTATATACATGCCAATGTGGTTTGCTGCTTCCATCGCCCCCATCACCTATATCTGGCATTTCTCCCCATGGTATCCCTCCTAAACCTCCCTACCCTGCACTGTCTATCTCCTATTCCCCCCAATAGACCCCACTGTGTGATGCTTCCCTCCCTGTGTCCATGTGTCCTCATTGTTCAACACCCACCTATGAATGAGAACATGCAGTGTTTGATTTTCTGTTCTTGTGTTAGTTTGCTGAGAATTATGGTTTCCAGATTCATCCATGTCCCTATGAAGGACACGAACTCATCATTTTTTATGGCTGCATAGTATTCCGTGGTGTATATGTGCCATATTTTGCTTGTCCAGTCTGTCATCAATGGGCATTTGCATTGGTTCCAGGTCTCTGCTATTGTAAAACAGTGTCAAAGTGAACATACATGTGCATGTGTCTTTATAATAGAATGATTTATAATCCTTTGGATATATACTTAGTAATGGGATTGGTGGGTCAAATGGTATTTCTATTTCTAGGTCCTTGAGGAATTGCCACACTGTCTTCCACAATGGTTGAACTAATTTACACTCCCACCAATAGTGTAAAAGTGTTCCTTTTTCTTCACATTCTCTCCAGCATGTTTTCTCCAGATTTTTTAATGATCACCATTCTAACTGGTACGAGATGGTATCTCAATGTGGTTTTGATTTGCATTTCTCTAATGACCAGTGATGATGAGCATTTTTTATATGTTTGTTTGCTTCATATATGTCTTCCTTTGAAAAGTATGTGTTCATATCCATAACCCATTTTTGAATGGGGTTGTTTGTTTTTTTTCTTGTAAATCTGTTTTAGAAATATGGAATGCTTCATGAATATGGATGTCATCTTTGTGCAGGGGCCATGCTAATCTTCTCTGTTTCATTTCAATTTTAGTATATGTACTGGTGAAGTGAGCACAAAAGTTATTTTACTTAATAATGTTCAATATAGGGCCGGGCATGGTGGCTCAAGCCTGTAATCCCAGCACTTTGGGAGGCCAAGGCGGGTGGATCACGATGTCAAGAGATCGCGACCATCCTGGTCAACATAGTGAAACCCCATCTCTACTAAAAATACAAAAAAAAAATTAGCTGGGCATGGTGGTGCGTGCCTGTAATCCCAGCTACTCAGGAGGATGAGGCAGGAGAATTGCCTGAACCCAGGAGGCGGAGGTTGCGGTGAGCCGAGATCGCACCATTGCACTCCAGTCTGGGCAACAATAGTGAAACTCCATCTCAAAAAAAAAAAAATAATAATAATAATGTTCAATATTGGCCCCCACTCTATTCTGGCTTGTAGGGTTTCTGCCAAGAGGTCTGCTGTGAGTCTGATTGGCTTCCCTTTGTGGGTAACCTGACTTTTCTCTCTGGCTGCCCTTAGCATTTTCTCCTTCATTTCAACCTTGGTGAATCTGATTATTTTGTGCCTTGGGGTTGCTCTTCTTGAGGAATATCTTTGTGGTGTTCTCTGTATTTCCTGAATTTGAATGTTGGTTTGCCTTGTTAGGTTGGAGAAGTTCTCCTGGATAATATCCTGAAGAGTGTTTTCCAGCTTGGATTCATTCTCTCCATCACACTCAGGTACACCTATCAAACGTAGATTAGATCTTTTCACATAATCCCATATTTCTGGAAGGCTTTGTTCATTTCTTTTCTCTCTTTTTTTTCCTCTAATCTTGCCTTCTTGTTTTATTTCATTGAGTTGGTCTTCAGTCTCTGATATCCTTTCTTCTGCTTGGTTGATTTGGCTATTGAAACCTGTGTATGCTTCGTGAAGTTCTTGTGTTGTGTTTTTCAGGTCTATCAGGTCATTTATATTCTTCTCTAAGCTGTTTATTCTCGTTAGCATTTCGTCAAACCTTTTTTCAAGGTTCTTAGTTTCTTTGCATTGAGTTAGAACATGTTCTTTTAGCTCAGAGATGTTTGTTATTACCCACCTTCTGAAGCCTCTTTCTGTCAGTTCATCAGACTCATTCTCCATCAAGCTTTGTTCTCTTACTGGTGAGGAGTTGTGATCCCTTGGAGGAGGAGACATGTTTGGTTTTGAGTGTTTTCATCCTTTTTGCACTGTTTTCTTCCCATCTTTGTGGATTTATCTACCTGTGGCCTTTGTAGTTGGTGACTTTTGGGTGGGGTCTCTGAGCGGACGTCCTTTTTGTTGATGATAAAGTTATTTCTTTCTGTTTTTTAGTTTTCCTTCTAACAGGCCCCTCTGCTGTAGAACTGCTGGAGGTTCATGTCAGACCCTGCTTACCAGGGGATCACCTGCAGCAGCTGCAGAGCAGTAAGGGTTTCTGCCAATTTCTGCTTCTGTTATCTTCATCCCAGAAGGATACCCAGCAGATGTCAGCCTGAGCTCTCCTTTTTGAGGTGTCTCTTTGGATATACAGGGGTCAGCGAGCTGCTTGAGGAGACAGTCTGACTTTTTATGGGAGCTCAAGTGCTGAGCTGTGAGCTCCATTGTTCTGTTCAGAGCTGCTATGCAGGTATGTTTAAGTCTGCTGCAGCAGAACTCATAACCACCTTTTTTCCCCAGGTGCTCTGTCCTGGGAAGATTGGAGCTTTATTTATAAGTTCCTGACATGCTGCTGCCTTTTTTCAGAGATGCCCTACCCAGCTAGGAGGTAGTCTAGTCACAATCTGCCAGCAGAGGCATTGCTGGCTTGCCGTGGGCTCTGCCCAGCTACTGTGTGAACTTCCTTGCAGTTTTTTTTATAGAGGTATAGTTAGAACTGCCTCAGTAGTGGTGGATTGCCTCAATATTGATGGACTGCCTTGGTAATGGTGGACTGCCTTGGTAAATGTGGACTGCCTCGGTAATGGTGGAAGCTCTTCCCCCAGCAGAGCTGGACCATTCTGGGTCCTGCTGTGCTTGCTGTGAAACTCTCAATCCAGAGCATTTCAGATTGCTGGTCTTTGTGTGGGTGAGACCTGCCAAGCCAAATCACCTGGCTCCCTGTTTCAGCCCCCTTTTTTTAGTTGAATGGGCAGCTCTGTCTCCTAGGCATTCCAGGCACCAGTTGAAATGGCACCCAGATTTGTGTGAGTTTTTGTGCAGAGACCCGCTGCGCCAGCTGAAACAGTGGTGCTGGAAACTCACACTTTTTAGCCCAGGAATCTCCTGGTCTGTGGGCAGTAATAACTCGTTTGGAAATGCGGTAATCACTCACCCTCTGCGTTGTTCTTGCTGGGAACTACAATCTGGAGTTGTTCCCATTTGGCCAACTTGGATCTAACCCCAGGCTGCTGCCTTTTTTCAGAGATGCCCTGCCCAGCAAGAAGGGAGTCTAGTTGACAGTCTGCCTGCAGAGGTCTTGCTGAGCTGCCGTGGGCTCTGCCCAGTTGCTGTGTAAACTTCTGCAGGACTTCATTTACACAGGTGAAGTTAAAACTGCCTACCTGAGCCTCAGCAATGGTGGATGCCCCTCCCCCCACCGAGCTTGAACATCCCAGGTCTAGCTCAGACTGTTGTACTGGCTGCAAGAATTTCAGGCCAGTAGATCTTAGCTTGCTGGTCTTCATGGGGGTGGAACCCACCAAGCCAGATCACTTGGCTTCCTGGCTTCGGCCTCCTTTTTCAGGGGAATAAGCAGTTCTGTCTCACTGGTGTTCCAGGCGCCACTAGGGTATGATAAAAAACAAACAACCAAAAAAACAGCTGCCCCGTTTTGCACTGGAAACCAGGGCGCTGGTGCTGTAAGGATTGGAGGGAATCTTCTGGTCTGTGGGTTGCAAAAACTGTGGGAAAACATACTATCTGAGCCAGTGTGCCATCCTGTCAGGAAATGTCCCCAATGGCTTCCCTTGGCTAGGAGAGGGAGTTCTCTGGCCCCTTGTGCTTCCTGGGTGAGGCAATGCCCCACTCTGCTTCAGCTTGCCCTCCTTGGGCTGCACCCACTGTCTAATCAGTCCCAGTGAACCTGGTACTTTGGTTGGAAATGCAGAGGTCACTTGCCTTCTGGATTGCTCTCACTGGGAACTGCAGACCAGAGCTGTTCCTATTTGGCCATCTTGGTGGAAGTCCTCATAGTCTTTTCTTAATGGCATCCTTTGAAGCACACACATTTTTAGTTTTCATGGCATCCAATTTTTTCTTTTTTTTTTTTGGGTGGTGGGGAGGGCTGTTGCGCTTTGGCCTCATATCTAAGAAGGCTGTGCTTTGAGACTTACTTCTATATTTTCCTCCAAGAATTTTTATAGTTTTAGCTCTTTTAGTATATGATTAACCCATCTATTTGGAGCTAACATTTGTATATGATGTGAGGTAGGGATCCAGATTCATTCTTTTGCATGTGGATATCCAGTTATCTCAATACTATTTGTTGAAAGATTATTCTCTCTCCTTTAAATTGTCTTGCCCCTTGCTGGCTTTTCTGGTCTGAAGAAATGAGTATCCTACCTTCCCCAGAAGAGATGGTACCAGCTTTGCTGGGATTTTGAGTGAACAAGCAGGTGGCCCCCACTTGGGCAGGGAGACTCCCCAGGACTTCTCTGAAACCTCAGCAGGGCCCAGCATAGGCGCTAGAGAGACCATGAATTCTTCAAATACTTACTCAGTACCTCCTGTGTGTCAGGAGCTAGGGACACAGTGGGGATTAAGGCAAGCTAGTCCCTACCCTCTGGAGTTCACACTGCAATAGGAAGATGGACAAGAAAGATTACTGTAATTCTAAGTGGTGACAATTGCTGTGGAGAAGAAATAGAGCAGGTTAAAGTGTTCAAGAGGGACAGGATTAAGGCTGGGGGTGGCAGTGGTATAGGAAGAGGGTCACTTTTCTTTCTTTCTTTCTTTCTTTCTTTCTTTCTTTCTTTCTTTCTTTCTTTCTTTCTTTCTTTCTTTCTTTCTTTCTTTCTTTTTTTGAGACGGAGTTTCGCTCTTGTTTACCCAGGCTGGAGTGCAATGGCGCAATCTCGGCTCACCACAACCTTCACCTCCTGGGTTCAAGCAATTCTCCTGCCTCAGCCTCCCGAGTAGCTGGGACTACAGGTGCGCGCCACCATGCCCAGCTGATTTTTGTATTTTTAGTAGAGACGGGGTTTCACCATGTTGACCAGAATGGTCTTGATCTCTTGACCTTGTGATCCACCTGCCTCGGCCTCCCAAAGTGCTGGGATTACAGGCGTGAGCCACTGCGCCTGGCCTAGAGGGTCACTTTTCTATTTCTGTTGACACCAGCTAAGGAACTTGGGTCCCCACTGTGCACCAGACACTATGCTGCACTCTTGGCATCTCTCATTTCATTTTGTTTTCCTGAGAATCTTATGATGCTAGCATACCATGGCACAGCTGAGGAAGCTGAGGTTCAGAGAGGTGAAGTGATTTGCCCAAAGCCACACAGCCTGGAAGTAGTAGCCATAAGACTCAAACCTAGACCTGTCTGAAGTGAAAGCTGTTTCTTCAGCAACACTGCCTGCCTGTAAGATGCAGGCTGTGTTCTCGTGGGACCCTCACTCCAGTAAGGGAGACAGAACACCTCCCTGAAGTCACTCCACCCCAGGCTGGAGTCGCAGCAGAGGCACATGCCCAGTGTATCGCATGCATGGAAGACGGAGGGCGAAGTGAATCGCCACTGGGCAGGGGAGGAGGAAGGGGAAAAGCCTGGACAGGATTTGCTGCAGAATGACGGTCCCTGAGCAGTCACCGTGGCCTGCATTGCATCCACAGAGGAAGGAGGCCCCATTTCTCCTGGGGAAGGAATACTTAAGAAGTGGGGATTCCCTGGGACTTCGTGGTTATATGATGATCTGTGTGTATGTGAGGCAGCGGTGCCTGGCAGGAGGAAGGGGCTAGAAACCAGCCCTTTAGAAGTGTTTTTATGATTATCACAGTCAGGAGAAGGGATAATTTAATAATGACATCAACAACACCCACTACTGTAATTACCCCACTTTACCATTGAGGAAGCAGGCTCAGAGAGG